TTAAAATTAGAGAAAAATATCTTGCAAATCACACAAGCGTTAATTAACTAAAACTCCATATAAAAGTTTATGATATTTATAAGTGATATATATAAGTATAAAATATCTCCACATTTATTTTTAAAAGTATAAAATTACTCGTGCAGAAGTATATATGAATCTTTTTTAAATTTTAAAACAATTATTTATCTTTCCAACGGCATTTGTATAATCCATTAAATTTCTTGTAATATTTTAAAGTCTCTTTGGTAGCATTGAAGAGATATTTCAATTATTTTCGAATATCTGACATTGAACAGAATTAAGATGATTTCAAATTGAATTTACGTTCTACACAATTTGCAACAAATATGCCAGATATCTCTGGAACATATTCAAGCTCACATTCGTTTCGTGTCTGACGACTGCGTGATATATTATTTTTTATACAATCAAGGATGTCGTCTAACAGCGTTTGACTGATATGTGTTTTACATAATGCAAAAGTTGATTTGCATAAAATAAACCGCATCTGATATTCGAATATACAAGAATAATCACTGCTATACGTCACACACTTACTTATTGTAATTTTAGTCCTTTAATTTAAAGACGTTCAGGAATATTGAGGTATGTGTGACATATCCTTCCTGAGTACGAAACAAAATTCACGTAATTTAAATTATATTTATTACTGATTTTGGTTAGATACGAAATATTTTTAAACTCGTAATTTTGAGTTACAATATATTTTAGTACAACTAAATATGAGTAATAATTTTTTTTAAAAAATAAGGAATTAATTTTATAAATATCAATTCTTAATAAAAACATAAAAAAACAAAACAATTTTTTTTGTAACTATACTAGTAGTTGATATATGCCTCTTATAATTATAAGAGACATCTTTAACTATTATCTGATTCTGTAAAAGTAGTATGTTCATATCAGTAATGATAGCAATTTTTTTATGAAATATATAAGACAATATTTTTTCTTACTAACTTACTAATTTGGTCACTGCAGACGTGAGTCGTTTTTGGTCCCGTCCACTAGCTGCACCCAGCCAGCCCTACCAGTGGCTTGCTATCATCAGTAGGTACAACCGAACGCTCTTAAATGGTTGGTCACCTGATCTTTTTACCGAAGATACGGATGTTAACTATCGCGTTCTGCACCTGCGGGTACCGTATCAAACACCTTTCAACCCGAAGCACTGACTTCCACTTGCACGACATGACCAATCTAGTGAAGCCCCTAAATTTTTATGCACTTCACTATGTCAATGTCGGTTTATATCTTATACAGCTCATGGTTCAATCTAATTTGCTACTCTTTGCTAACGTGCAAGAGACCATAGATCTTCTGAAGAATTTTTTCACTAGAATGCTTCTAATACGATCGAATTACTGTTGGTCATTGTTTATCTTCTGTGCCATATATTAAAACAGGCATAATAAGAAATTGGTAGGGCGTGATTTGTGTTTCTCGAGAGAGTGCTTTTAGTTGCTTACTTAGCTGAAATTAATATCTGTCGACAAAACTGATTTTTCGTTGAATCCCTAGTCTGACTTCATTTTTGGTGTTCACGTGGATTTTCAAATAAACAAAGTAACTTCGAAATTATAGTTGTCAACAGTGACGTGGGTTCTGTTATTGAGTTGAAAAAAGCCACTCTAATGACGCCGGTGTTCAGATTATTGTCAGTATATAAAAGCAGCTCTGCTCGGATAATTGTTTCCAACATAGGGTTAAAGTAGTCACACGACAAGTAATCACCTTGTTTGAAACCTAGTTTAGTATCAAACGGCTCGGAGTTGTTTTTTTAATTCTAAAGAAGCTTGCAGTACTGATGAATGGTATTTTACATAGCTGTATAAGTTTTGCTAGGGCTACCAAGTTGAGACATAGTGGCATAAAAAGAGTTTTTAGTAATACTCTCATAAGCGACTTTGAAATCGACAAATAGATGATAGGTGCCTATTTGTTTTTCTTGTGTTCTGGTCAATGGTTCAAATTTGTCTGGTTTGAAACCACACTTATCAGTTGATTGATGATTGGTTTCTACCTTTCATATAGTACGTTTGCAGAAAAACGATGATTCAAAAGACTGATATCGCTATAGTTTGCACTGTTTACGGATCACCTTTTTTGTGAATTATGCAAGGCACATTTAAATTCATAATCTTACTTACAAAAATATGGAGTGATACATTATGATTTTATAGAGACCCTATGCTTCACTAGGAGAGAAGGACAGCAATAAGGAAGTATATGGTTCCATATGTTCATATATTTCTCATATTTAATGCAAGAATTTTTTTTGTGGGCCTGTTGTAAGGATAAATAGAGCTAATCAAACATCTATATGGTCTTGCATCTGTTACATTGGTTGCATCAACTTGAATCAGTTGAATGACTTGTAGAAATTGATGATATACTTTATGCTCAAAAAGTACTCGAATTTCGTAAATAAAGGACACAAATTTAAATTTTATTCCAAATTTATTTTATCTCCTTCAAAATATGCTCCTTTTGAAGCGATATACATATGCCAACGCTTAACCCAATCTTCCATATACTTTTCATAGGCCCGTGAAAGTATGGCTTTTAGTTCCTTCGGCGAATTCTCTTTTACCGATTCAATCGACTCAAAACGCTTACCACGAAGGGGCGTTTTAGTGAGTTTCGGGAACAGGAAAAATTCGCACGGATCCAGATCTGGCGAATATGGTGCCTGAGCGATGACAGTGGTGCCGTGTTTGGTCAGAAATCGCGTACAACAAGAATTTTTCATAGTGAAAATCGCTAAATGCACTTGAGGTAGTCTCACATTAACAGCTGCTGTAAAGAAATTAATTGACAGATGGCGCTCAAATTTGTACCATATGTCAAGAAAGGGTGTACCAACATAACAAAAAAAAATTTTTTTTGTAAAAGGTCTGTTACTTAAGGAGTAGTTAACAAACAACAAAATCCGATACTTTTTGAGCAGAAAGTTGCTGTTTGTCCATAGAATATTTATTCTATCTAAAGATATGTGCAAGGGGTTTGCGGAATACAACAGAACATACTACAGTCAATTAAAACTCTTTTAATGTAGAAACTATACTATGATCATTACAAAAGTACTAATGATAGTGGTAGTCACGACTAGTAATATATGTTAGTACTTAAGTGTTCACTAAAAAGCACTATGGCACTTAGCCGGGTTACTTTTCCAATTCTAGTTAATTATTAGTAAATAGTGCTGCTAAACCACTTGACTACTGATTATACATATTTGAGAGTATCCAAAATAGCTCTAAGTACAACCCAAAACTTTATTCAATTGAAAATTATATTTATATATTTAAAAATTTCCTCAGGGGGTATATTTCTTTTCTATTTAAGGTGAAATTTCTCACATAGAGCACAAAAATTTTAATTAAAATATTTATTCGTAATAGAATCTCAGCAGTTTTCCATTTGTAAATGTAAGAGAAAGGTTGATTCTATATTTAGATATAAAATAGTTTGCATTACTTGATATTTTTATTAATAAGTAAGCCCTTCTACTTGAGTGCACGTGCAGTGTAGTTGTTTTAGTAAGACTAGTACTAGAAGTGCTCTTAACCAACCCTTCGGTATAATTACTTCAATAACGAATTTCAAATGCAACTGCTGCAAATGCATAAATGTGATTTTTCCCTTATTATACTAAACAGTGAAATAAAATAAATATATAAAACCTTGTATTGTATTTGTAATTTATTAATTTATTTCCTCTTATTTTCCATTTCATATTGTGATTTTCACAGTAAGTAATGAGCTTTATTTATTTTTGCAGGGAAAACTTATTCAAATAAATAAACGTCAAGTAAAGTGCACACGTAAAACCATATAATTAAAGGTCAACATATAATTAGAACCCTAAGAAAGGAAATATTTTAAACTGCATAAAAAAATTATATTTTAAGTTTTATTAATGTATATTTTTTTTTGTTGTTTTCTCTTGAAATAATTGAAAACAATTTTTTAACCCCAACTGAGCGTAGAAATTAATTTTTAATTATTATAAGCAAAAGAATGGAAATGAATGAAAATTGCTGCATACTTTGTGGCGTACCAAATAATTATTAAAATAAACAAAAGCACAAAATATACTGAGGCGGAAGAGCAAACAAACTAGGACAACAGTGTTTATTTTACTCCATTTTGTTGGTCACAATTATGTGGTCTATTGTCTAAAATCATGAGTGTGTGCATGTATGTGTGGGGTTTCCTTCTCCAGCTTCTTTGGGTTTTTTATAGTTTTTTTAAATAAATTTTTTTTAATAAGTGTTTTCAGTTGCAATATCTCAATTGTGTAAGGTTTTTAATTTGCTTGCTGCCACCTTTTGCCTTTACGCCCATTACACAGTTTTGTGCCTTTGTCAGGCATATTTCATTAGGTGAACATGAATGAAAAGTCAATGTATGGGGTGTGTAAAGAGAAGGACCTTTACTCTTAACCAGTCATTTACAGCACAATTAGTCGGATTTAAAATTGCACAATACTTAAGTGTATTTATAAACTATTAATTGCATTTCTGTTTCCATCAGGCATTGCGCTTGCAGTCACTCATCGTAACAC